AATTAAAATAAGTAAATAAATAAAGTTAATTATTAAAAAACAAAAAAAAAAGGCTCAACGACACCCCTCTTGCCCTCCAGAATATAGCCTGGGAGACCCCCCACCGCCCCCTGGCTTGCTGCAGACCCCTACCCTGGCCCCCTGGCAGCCCTCCGCGCCCGCCCAGCCCAGGTAAGAGCCCCGGCTCCCTCCGCCCTTAGCCACTGCTGACCCCTAGCGGCCACGCCTGGTACAGCAGCCAGCGCCTCCCTACGGTTTCCGCGGCGCTGGGCGCGGATTTTGGAGGTCCCCAGAGGACCCGCCACCCCCTCCTTTCCCAGGGTCCTTGTGCCAAGCCTTTGCCCACGCCGTGGCCCTCCCCAGGCTTCCTTCTCCTCCTCCATGAGCTCATAGATCTTTTTTCTCTCTTTCTCCCTCTGCAGTGGGGGCCGCAGTGTGGGTGAGGAGTGTCCCCCCACCAGCGGCGCCTCCCCGCCACCCCCCCAAGTCAGCATCAAGTCCGAGCGCCTCTCGCCGGGCCCCGGGGGCCCCGGAGATTTCCCCAAGACCTTTCCTTACCCCCTGCTCCTTGCCCGGCCCCTGGCAGAACCCCTGCGGCCCGGGCCCTCCCTGCGCAGGCTGCCCTCAGCCCATGGCTGGTCCCGGTAGGGGGCGCCGCGCTGGGCGAGGGGCGCCGGGAATCCAGGTGTGGGTGGGGGGCCTGGAGGAGGCGGCTGGATTCGGATCCATTATGGGGGTTCTCCTTTTCCTCCCCATCTTCTGTGTGTACCCAGAAATAAAACACGCTGTTACAGTGTCAAGCAATTTGTATCATGATTACGCGGCTGGACTCCCACCAAGTTGACGGCAGTTCGAGTCCCGGACCCGGTTGCTCACAACTCACGACTGGGGCTGGCAAGGGCCATGGTAGTTAAGGGCGCTGGACCCCCACATGCCCTTCTGAAGTTCGAGTCCCTGATCTGGTGGCTTCCTTTCTCACTTTCTCTCTCTCTCTGTCTCTCTCTGTCCCTCTCTGGTCACTTTAAATAAATAAATACATAAATACATATAAAATGAATAAATAAAGTTAAGTAATAAAAAATAATTCTAAAACAAAACAAAACAAAAACCTCACATCTGGTGCGTGTGTGTGCGCCCAAAATTCCAGAGGAGAATGGAGGAGAAGGGATTACAGAGTGGCTCTACCTCTGGGGGGGATTTCTTCCTTTCTGTCTCTCTGGTGAGCCCACCTATAGCAAAAAAATCTCTCTGTAGGAGGCCAGGATGTGGCGTGGTGGTTAAGACTCTGGGCACTTCTACATGGCTGACCACGGTTCAAGTCCCAGACCTGGCAGCTTGCTTTCTCACTTTCCTTCTCTCTCTCCGGTCAAATTAAAATAAATGAATGAATAAATAAAATTAAATAATTTTGGGGACCAGAAAGTGGCACGATGCCTAAGGCGCTTGGCATTCCTACATGGCTAACCTTGGTTCGAGTCCAGGACCTGGTGGCTTGCTTTCTCACTTTCTATCACTCTCTATATATATATCTGGTCAAATTAAAAAGAAATGAATGAGGGAACCAGCAGTTAGCGTAATGGCTATGTCGCTGGACTCCCACGTAGTCGACCGCGGTTCGCATCCTGGACCCGGTGGCTTAAAACTCACGCCGGGCGCGTGTGCGTGCGTGCCCAGGATCCCAAGAGGAGAATGGAGGAGAAAGGATTGTGGCGTGGCCATGCCCCCTGGGGGGTGATTTCTCACTTTCTGTCTCTCTGTCTCTCTCTGTCTGGCGAGCGCACGCGCCCTATAGCGAAAACCTCACCAAAAAAAAAAAAAAGTAAATAAATAAATAAATGACTAACTAAAATTGAATAAATAATTCAAAAAAAAAAAAAAAAACCTCTCTCTAAAACAATGATGGGAACCAGCAATTAGCGTAATGGCTATGTCGCTGGATTCCCAGGTAGTCGACTGCGGGTCAAGTCCCGGACCCGGTGGTTTAGAACTCACGCCGGGCGCGTGTGCGTGCGTGCCCACGATCCCAAGAGGAGAATGGAGGAGAAGGGATTGCGGCGTAGCCATCCCGCCTGGGGGGTGATTTCTCACTTTCTGTCTCTCTGTCTCTCTCTGTCTGGCGAGCGCACGCGCCCTATAGCAAAAACCTCTAAAAAAAAAAAATACGCTGTCACTGCTCAGAGTGTCACTTTCCATCAGACTGTCACCTTCCAAGGGGCTTCCCACCCCATTTTCAGCACCTTCATTTCTGCCGTGCCTTGGTTTGGGGGACTCTGCCTCAAAACAACCCTGAAACTCTTGAGACTTAAGGGTATGTGGGCGGTGGAAGGGTGGGAAGGTGACCGAGGGCCTGCAGGGGGCGCCCAAGAGCAGGTGGTGCTGTGGACGGCAGAGGCTCGGCAGGTGCGGTCTGCGGATACGGGGAAGCCAGTGGGCGGGCGGGCCGTGGAGCCCTGCCAGTCTGCACAGTGGTGGGCAGAGGGCTGCTCCTGGGGGTCTGGAGTCAGGGGCTCAAAGGGTAGTCCCCGGGCCGGGCTCCCACTCCGGAATGTCTGTGGAGCCCTGAGAATGTCCTCTATGCTGTTCATTAATCTCTTTCTTTTTAAGAGAGGTTTTTGCTATAGGGTGGGAGTGCTCAGGGGAGAGACAGACAGAGACAGAGAGACAGAAAGTGAGAAATCACCCCCCCAGGGGGGATGGCCATGCCGCAATCCCTTCTCCTCCATTCTCCTCTCGGGATCTTGGGCACGCACGCACACTCGCCCGGTGTGAATTTAAGCCACCGGGTCCGGGACTCGAACCTTGGTCGACTACGTGGGAGTCCAGTGTTATAGCCATTACACCAGCCACTGGTCCCAGAAGATTTTGAGCTCTGCAGGGCTGACATGACACCCCATGGGCATGAGCGACTCCCGAATTCATGAGCAGGGTGGCCAGGAAAGAGGTCAGGGTGTGAAAGAGAGATCTGGGCCTCTGAGAACCTCTGTATCTTCATCCATCAAATGGAGACAAGATGGCGCCAGCAGGGGGCACAGTGGTTAAGGCGCTGGACTCCCACACAGCCAACTGCGGTTCGAGTCCCGTATCCAGTGACTTGAAACTCATCCCCAGGGGCGTGTGCGTGCGTGCCCAAGATCCCGAGAGGAGAATGGAGGAGAAGGGATTGCGGCATGGCCATCCCCCCTGGGGGGTGATTTCTCACTTTCCCTCTCTGTGTTTCTCTTTGTCTCTATGGCAAGTGCAACCACCTTAAACAACAAAAAAAAACTCTTTAAAAAAAGAAAAAAACGGGAACCAGCAGTTAGCGTAATGGCTATGTCGCTGGACTCCCACATAGTCGACCGCGGTTCGTGTCCCGGACCCGGTGGCTTAAAACTCACGCCAGGTGCGTGTGCGTGCGTGCCCAAGATCCCGAGAGGAGAATGGAGGAGAAGGGATTGCGGCGTGACCATCCCCCCTGGGGGGTGATTTCTCGCTT